ACTTCTTCCCCAAGACAGCGATTCGACAGGCGAGGTGGAGCCTAGAAGGAGACGGTCGACAGGGAATTCCACTCAACAGGCGACCTGCTCCCTCAAGACTGCTCTAGGATCTGCTTATGCGAGGTAACCCTCTGGGGTTGAATTAATTCGTAATTTATGGAAGAGGAATTTTGACGGTAGACAAGTGGTTGCTGCTAGCTCTGGCAGAGAAACCTGACACGTCCTTTACGAGCATGCGTCCTGGACTACCAGACTACGCCAAGTTTTAGCATTTTATTTCTACCACTATGGAGGAAATGTCGTGGGATTGTGATGGAAGACGAGGCATGCCCTACTTTCCCATTGTTACATTTCGGCATATGCCAAGGTCATTTCCTCGTGTGGACTCTCTTTCAAATTCATTCGCTCGTAACCTCCCCAATGTTACAGAAATTTGGTGACCAGGAGTTATCATTGCTAGTGATAACATTTCTCGTTAGTTTCTTCCGCCACTGGCATATTAAGCTTGATTTATCTGCTGCTTTTCATACTGACTGCTGCTTACAATTTGCTTACGGAACGAGTGGTAATCATGCTGAATGCTGGTTGAAGTGCCCAGAGCGGTTGTAACGTAAATGCTGTTGAATGTTCCGAATCGCCTTATTTCCAAGGCTGAAGTAAATGTCTAATATTTGGAGATTCACTGCTACGGCACCACGGTAAAGTGACAAAATACAACACATAGCTGTTCGGATTGGTTAATGGGGCAAAAGTAGTGGCTGAAAGTCGCAAAATAATGCCTAATTTGCACTACTACGTAGTATATTGCAGATCCGTAATGCATGCGAGAGAATCACCCGCAAATTTATTGACAGGAATCTTCAAAACAAACGGCTACCTTGGTCGACATCAAATACGAATGAAAAGAAAATTATGTTCAACCAGTGCAACTAAATGCTGTGCCACCATCCTGAACTGATCACCGCAAATGACGAGAAAGAGAGGGTGAGCAATAACAGCAGTGAAAATGCTGCGCGTGCTTACTATTGCCATGTCATCGGTGTGCGCTTAAGTGTTCTGGCGTGATTTTAAATCGCACCTGCCATTCGCTCACTCCCTAACTCCCCGATCACACCTTATTTTGTGCCATTGTAACACCACTTTGCTCACTCCACACCGGCATGCCACATTTCAACTACCCACTCTTACATCCGCTTCAAGTGATATGTCTCACTATACTGCATCACGCAAAGTTGAGAATTTTTTGGCTTTTAGTGGAATAAAGCTATTTCCACGGTTACTGGTAGCAGTAAAACCGATTATACTTGAGGTGGTTGGTCAGATGTTATTTGCGTCAATCAAGCTCACCTTGATGCAGACAAGGCCTGTGTGATTTATCCTGACGTTCGGTGTCCATTTCTAATCGGGACACAGTAATCATTGCGGCTAATTTCGACTGAATGATGAGGCTTCAATCAGGTCTCCCTTAACTAACTTACTTTCCTCCTCCTGGTATTTCTAGCCATCCATCCGCATGCAGATGTTAAAATCCAATCATGATTCATTTGATTAACTCTATCGCAAATCCCAGTTATTGGGTTTGCTGAGAGATTTGTTCAGTCATGCATTCACTGGCAGTTTTTTACTTGTTGTACAATCCACGTCGTTTCTTCAGAGACCGCTGCATTGCTGAAAATGCCACTTCATCTGCGATTGATTTGTGCCACACAATGCATGCAACGTAGCAACGTTGCTTCTCTGATTTGAGTTTCCTTGTGTAGACTTTATCGGCCGTTGAGGTGAGTGTTTATAAGACATGTTGTTGAAGTCCAAATGAAGACATTTGCCGCACGACAACATGGACATCACGAAACCACCGCCAATTGAGCGTGCATTTCGCTTGAACAGGAGCCTTGTGCATGTGTTCCTCATGCAAGTGAACGGGCGCACACACAAACACACGACTACCACCACCACCACCACCACCAACAATTCCGTGTTTCATTACTGCAGATTTTGCATTTCAGAAGGGACACAATCGAAACCCACTCTCTTCCGAGTTATGCAACCAAATGAAGACCCAGATAATCCCCCCATGGATTCAACACAGTCCACACCAACACGGCCCACATTCACTGGCGACACACATCTACGATCGCCCACTTCCACTATTTATGGCGCCCAATTTCCAGGAAATAGGACTTCTGGAAACAGCCAAATCGCTGCCTCGGAATCCCACCAGCCACCACATGATGTGAATGCTGTAGTATATGCGCCAGTATTTGTTCCGCCTCTGGAATCGGAGGCTGCGGGTGGACAAGAAACAGGTCAGACGCCAGTTCTAACTTCGTCAACATCCACACCGTCAAAGCGGCTTTCCAGTGAAACTAATTTCGAATCGGTCACACCAAATAAACAAAGAAGTAGGTTTGGTGTGTTTGTTTTGGCATCTGAAATCTGTTTTTATATGGCCGTCACAAGTGTGCACAATTAATGCAAGATTTTACACATGAAAACAGTGGTAAAATGCCCAGTGCCCTTTTCATTTTTCCCACTAACTAAGCATGCATAAATCTACAAGGCTTTTATCTGCTGAAAGATGCATTATCCTCTCCATCAACTGCACTTGACTCGATTTGCTTTAGCTGCAGTCGGTGGGCTTAGCTGGTTCATTGCGACTTGGATGTCCGTTTAGCTGACGCCCTTTCACTATCCGCAGCAATAATCAACACTCACACAAACCGGCTTCACAACAATCCCAAGTTGTCAACTTCTTAATCTCACTGCGTCTCGAAAGGTCTCACCGAATAGCCCTCCTCATATGTTCCAAATACTAGCCCACTAGTCCAACAAAGATCATTTCATGGGATGCGGCAAGTTAATCAGAAGCCACCTGAGGAAGTACTTGTCAATTGACATTGCTTTAAACCTCAGCTACAGCTTACATAGCATGTGCTTGTGGGCAAATGAAGTGACTCATGAGAATTTGTGGGTGTTGCACCACCGGGAATGCGAGAATATGAAATGTCGACTGTTAAACAACGGTTGCCTTAGTAGGAACGAGGGTACAAAAGTTAGCAATAGGGAAGACGTCTACTTGGTGTGGGTGAATGTGCAGTTAATGTTCGTGTTGCGCCACATTCTTGAAGTTCAGTGAATATCCACAGGCTCTTCTTAACAGGATGCGCTGCTAATCCAGAGCGTGTGACTTTTTGGCGTAAATATAAACACGATATATTTAGTCAGCACTTTGAGCGAATATTTTCATTTGGACCGGCTGCTCAGCAGCACAGCGCTGTCCTCCTCAATGTGAATACACACAACCGAACGTCGTAATGCATCTAGCTGAATTTGAATTTTGTATTTGATTTAACCACGTTTTTACCTGGAACAGTGAAGTTGGTCTCGGATTACCTGGCGAATCGAAACGGAAGCATAGAGCCCATTGTCACGGGTTATGACCATCAGTAAAGTTGATGCTTTGTGGTTCGCGGAAAACAAATTAGTCAGTGATGGAATTTAAGGCACGTCCACTAGATCAACAATCGATGCCTTTAAGCACAGCACATTGGTGCCTTCTAGCTCATACATCACACCAACAGATAGGATTTTTTGCTGTTTGCACACAGGAGAATCGCACGTATTGAGTAATGAGGACATCCAGGAAGGACCTCAAGTGTGCGTCGTCTGTGGAGACGAGGCCTCGGGCATCCACTATCACGCCTTGACCTGCGATAGCTGCAAAAACTTCTTTTGGCGTTCGATGCAGAAGAAAGTGGAGTTCATGTGCGACAACGATGGTCAGTGTTTCGTCGGCGATAAGCAGAGTCGGAGTCGATGTCAGAAATGTCGATTTGACCGATGCATCGAAAGTGGCATGAAAAAGGACTGTAAGCTGCTTGTCATTTATTTTGTACTGATGTTCTATTTAAATTCACATGAGGCTGATTGGTAAGTAAGACAGTGGACGAACTGGAGCACAAGGCCATCGATGTGGTCAGATATCTGACATACGGGAAATCGTGATGTCTAAATCCGGGAGCGTGTGGCGCATGGTAGTGAGATTGATGCGGTAATGAGTTCATTTTTGCCATATTTCATTCAATATGATCTTCTGTCACTCATAACCAAGCAAGACGATGCTCCTTCCTCTGATTCAGTCACTTTTAAATCTTTACTGCAAATAATTGCAGTTGGCCGTCATGATATTTGTACTTCTAGGTCGCACATTTGAAAACATTTATTTATTTTCCTTATTTGTCCTACTACATCTAAACAAGACTTGGGCTAGCACCCACCATCGCTATTAAATCGGAATTTTTCTTTTAATTTGCTGTTTTCACGTTTGGCAAATGCCTCAAATGGCCTCTATGGCATCAACGATTAGCGTGTATTCGACTGGCTTAACTGCATGATGTCGTTGAAGGCTGTTTCGTTGATGCATCTATACAATATCCGAGTAAAGTTTACGAAAGAAGGCATTCAAAATCTGACGTGTGCTTTCGAACGCACTAACGATTATCTGGCACCTACACATGGGCTTCGTATAGGGACTTAATTAAGAACGATTTACCTTTTCCTTGATATTTAACTGTTTTACGTGAAGTAGCCCCATGAAACATTCTACTGCTGTTGGTGATGACCCCTAGTGAGTATAGCCAATCGTAAAATTATCACTCGACCCTATTCAGATTATGTGGAAGTAATTTAAAGGTACTGAGACGCTGTCTTGCTCAGGTTGATACATTCACAAGTTTTCATGAATTCACGTACACCTCTGATAATGAGATCTTATTATTAACCCGTGCTGGCAGATTCGTTTACACCACACTCACCATCGGATTGCAATAAAAATTGTAGGGCTATCCATTACTGAAAGACGACTGGCGAATCGGGCTCGAAGGCTAACGGAAATGGCTATGGCTGCTGCAGAGGTCGCTGCTGCTGCTGCAGCTGAGGTAACTGCGGCAACTGAAGGACGGTTTAGTTCTTCGAGAAGTGAGACTGCAGCTGCATACCCAAACTACCCTCAGCCAGCAGCTAATCAAGCACCACTGCCACTACTACCACCACCACCACCACTGCCACCACCACCACAAACGCTTCCACCGCTTCATTCAATACAACCACGAGTGGCAGCGGCAGCACATCCAGTCACGGCGGCAGAACTCCACTCCTATCCAACTCACTCATTTGCAAACACAGAAACTACGTTATTCACGAGTCCTGTCGACGCGATACCGCAATCATCTCCACCGCCACATCTGTCGTGTGGCAATTTGGGCTTTGATGATGCAGGCCGGCCGCAGGTCCACCAACATCAAAATTTTTTCCTCCCTGGGCAGTATGCTCCTGCGCCTCAGCAACTGCCGATACCTTCGACGTCTAATGTGCTTTCAGTGCCGGAATGTCAGGTTTTATCTGCGGATTTCTTTTCCATCACCTCCCTTGAGGGAGGCGGTGAAAGCACTGAAACGATGCAACCGCAATCTGCTTCAGGAGAGCACTCTCATGTCGAAAGCACTTTTATTTCAGATGTTGTCGGCAGTGCGAAGAATATTGCAAAGGCTTACCAACCCGTCAATGTGCCAAACAGCCTGAGCGATTTTGAGGTGCATTCCACGGCAAGCATCTTTTTAACGCTTTTCATAGCAGTTGTCAACACCACCGATTTGTGTCCCTGACTGGTTCAGTTAAATCATCATGCCATTTATCTCCTTTCCATGACGTGTGTGATCTTCTTTGTGCTCCTCTACTAGTCTTTTAACTTTAGAGAGAAGGCCAGCCTCGTAGTGATACGACAAGTGTCACTGAATCGGAAAATATCGAACACCTGCAACCCATACTAAACAAGATTCTTTTTCGTCTGTCTGGATTTGCAAGCTCTTTTCCTGGATTTGCTAACGTGAGAAAGCATCTGAGTTTCTAAAAAAGTAAACTAATTGCCTGATTAGTTGTAACAACTGTGCAATGTTTGCTTTTAGCTCGAACCACAGGACCAGCATTGTCTTCTTTGTGGTGCCATCATGGAAATCCTGACTCTGCGAGCTGCTCACACACTATCGCTCGTATTACGAGGAAGGTGTGATGAGGTGATGAAAAACAAGGATTGGTTCACGATCCAAACAATAGAGAGCAAAGCGTATCCTGAAATTGGTGTCTCCTCAGACTCATGCTCTTCGCTTATCCGATCGATAGCCTTCGAATTTTGCGAGCTTCACGTTGATGACGTTGAAGTCGCCATGTTGGCAGCCTTACTCATCACTAATCCCTGTAAGTGATTGTCGTAAACAGTGCCTAAAGAAAAGTTCGTTTCCGTATTTAAGGGTTACTGCCTGTTTGGTTTTTATTCAAGACCGTTCCGGTCTGCGTCACACGAATAGAGTGTTTTGTGTGATGAATGTCCTTACGGCAATATTTGGTGGCTACGCAATCCGACGTAGATGCTCACAGCAGCTCGAAGGAACTTTAAAGGAGTTGAGGAAACGAATGCCAATAATCAAGATGCAGATCGAGTTAATAGCTTCAGAAGACGTAGTGGCATTTAAGAACACACGCTTCACATCTGTTAGGAACATGTCACTTTACCTACACGAACTGATCGCCGCAAATGACGAGGAGGAGGAGGAGGAGGAAGTGGAGTGGGACGACCAAAACGGACTTTTTGGTGCCTATCAGTCAATCGAGGCTCATCCACGTCCAACCAATGATACAAATACCCCTTTCGCTTAATTCCCAGTCTTACTACATCCACATTGCAAATACAGCGAAGTTTTTTACTCTTACCCCGTCCAAGATCCACACGTCTTTCCGTATCCCATCCACCACATGCTCTCGTCACCTCAAAAACCACCTGTGTATGCTGTCGCACCACAACCAACTTGTGCAGCAACCACCAGCATTCCACATTACCTCCATCCACGCTTTCATCTTCTTCAAGTAATTTGCCACATTAACTCCACCAACGCACATTCAGCATTTGTGCATGGCTCGGCTAGGAATGGAAGATGATTTTGCTTGCGGTAACGCTATCAACCTGATGATGTTTAATACGATAGTCGTTGATGACGCTCATTACTTTTACCAAATGTGATAACTGCTGAATCCTGATTTATTTGAATCTTGTTAATAAAAAAGGCCTTGCTCAAATATGGAATCTTTGAGATGGCAGATTTGGGATTTTCGTTGTGGTAAGCAGAGCCTTTTATAAATCTAAGGCAAGTGCTAACTTCGGTACTACAGGACAAATACATGACCTGTATTGGGTGACGTTGATGACGCTCATTACTTTACCAAATGTGTTAACTGTTGGATGCTGCCCTGTTTGATACCTGATTGTAAGATCGCTAAATAAGAGCCCAACTAACAGGTTGAATATTCGCTATCGTGCGACTTTCTAAGCTATGCTGTCACTTAGCTTTGTAAGCTAATTAAACTCAGGCCATTACGATATGCCCATCCGCTACATAACCAGAAGGCACTGAGAGGAAGCAGCGGACACGATATATCGCAAAATTTCTTTTGTTGATTTCCGCCTGGCTCCAATGTTAGGGTGTTTGAGACATTGTTCTTGACAAATCAAGCAGTCCCAAATTCTTCTAGTATGAGCAATCTGCCAGATTCTGTCAGTTGAACTGAACGCAGTGGTCACTCTTCATTGAACTTGCCATGCCGCTATTTGCGTTTGGAGATGCAATCTAGAGGCATGGTGCTGATGACCGTTCTGTGTGTGTCTTTGCTGGAAGTTGTCGAGAAGTGAGAGTGTGTTGGTTTGGTTGGTCAAATTGCTCATTTAACCGTTCATAAAACTGCAACCATTCGCATCGGTAGATATTTCAGCGTTGAATGCGCACTTCATTGGTTGCCAAACCACATTCAGATGTGTTCAGTGAAAAATTAAGTGATTAGGCATTCATGCGGCATACATGCTCACCAGTGGATCCTTTAATGAAGGCTGTAGGGTTTGGGCTAGATAAACTGCGTATGCACGTGAGCAGGCGATCAACTTACTCACACGTTCACAAGTGATTTCTCTAAGCACGTCTTCTTTTGCATAATCCTCGAACTATCTGATTGCAAACAACAGTAACTTGATTTCGAAAAAAACGACTTACAACAGAACAAAAGATGCCTTATCATGCCCTAAAGCATGAAGGAAATTTAGCTAATTGTTAGAAAATTCGTAGCAACAAATTTACATCGATTGCATTTAACCTACCGCATACCTTTCAGAATCCGCAAAGTAAGAAAAGATTAGCTAAATTATTTTGCTAAGGGAGGGAGCATTCTCAGTTCGACCCACATTGATAGCCATATCCCAATCGCGTGAAACCTATGACCAACCCTTCAAAAACCTCAGCGGACGGAGAGGTTTGCGATATCCTGCTGCTAAGGGGAGAGCTGTTATGAATCACGCTGATTTGCACGTGCTAATCCGATCGCTCCAGCTTCCGATACAGGGTCGCCTCTTTTCCCAACATATTGCCAGCCACGCGGATTCTCAACTCACCCTACATTCGCACGAACATTTATCCTGGATTTTCCTCACACTCAGGTCTCAATGTAAGCCCATAAACGACTCACAAACGACACAACGACACCAACGGGGTTGAGCTCTGAAGTAAACGAATGTGTTCATGTCCTCAGCGGTCTTTTTCTTCATTGCAAGTATCAGGAAAGCGTAATCGGGCCAGAATTAGTTAACTGGCCCCGGCGTGGTTCAAGACCACATGCTGGGACCCACAACAAATGGTAACGCCGATGTGATGAAAGGTTCTCCAAATGTCACAACGGTCTCAACGACTATAATAAATTAGTTTAAAATCTCAAGATCTAATCAAAATATGTAGTTTTTGTGTTGGGGACCCACGATTCCCCATGATTGGTTTCTGATGCTATTTACAGTTATTCACTAACATTTGTTTTGCTACACTTTTTATCAAGTCAAGGTCAACCTGACTTAAATTAGTTTCACTTCCGCACTGCACGCCGCACGTGGCTGACGTGAATACAGCTCTCTACACGAGCTCTGGTCTCGTTGTTGTATTAGCCCGGGAAGGTCGGTTCTAGTTTTCAGCAAGGGATCTGGTACCGTTATTTGAGTGGTTTTCTCTTTGTTACGGGCAAACGAAACAAATTTGGCGACGTGGGTGAGATGAGTGACTAGGGGATGGAACAATTACTCGAGCGGCTAGTGTCAATGCTTGCAGATCGCCAGTCGTCTCAGGCCGCTCCTGCCAGTGCGTTGTCAATTGATGGCCTCACCAACAGTATCTCGGAGTTTTCCTATGATCCGGAGAACGGCGTAACGTTCGAGTCCTGGTATCCGCGTTACTATGACCTGTTCCGAGTCGATCTCGCGTCCCAGGATGACGCATGGAAAGTCAGACTCCTCACCCGCAAACTGGGCCCAGGCAAATTAAAGAAATACACAGACGCTATTCTCCCCAAATCCTCACTCGACTTTACTTTTGGAGAAACCGTTCAAAATCTCAAGAGTAGGTTTGGAGAACGCACCTCCTTATTCAGTACCCGGTACCAATGCCTCAAACTTGCAATAGGAGAGTTTGTCGACTTTTTTGATCATCTGGCAGTGGTCAATCGAGAGTGCGAGAAAAGTCAGTTCAAATCAGTGGCTGAAGACCAGCTCAAAACCCTCAATCTCATATGCAGCCTTCAAATCCCTAAATACACGGATCTGCGAACCATCTGCAGAGCCATGAGTTACGCAGGTGCGGATAACATGCAAACTTCGTTCAAATATTTACTTCACACTAATGGTAATCTAGTTGATGCGCTGGTTTATAACTTCGAAGACGTTACATTTTGCAGCTCTGAAATTGATGAAATCGAATCATCATGCATTAA